ATGGAAAAAATCAGGCTGTAGAGCATTCATTGTATTCCTGTACAGGTTAAACATGTTCGTCTACTGGCTTGCTTAAAGGTAAAAGCATACATTGATATCTTTACACTGACTGACTGTCTTGTACATATTGTCACAAGAGGCTTGGCTTAATCGGTACTGAGCTGAAAAAAAGCAATATAAATTGGAACCTTTTGTCATGAATGGAAAAAATCAGGCTGTAGAGCATTCATTGTATTCCTGTACAGGTTAAACATGTTCGTCTACTGGCTTGCTTAAAGGTAAAAGCATACATTGATATCTTTACACTGACTGACTGTCTTGTACATATTGTCACAAGAGGCTTGGCTTAATCGGTACTGAGCTGAAAAAAAGCAATATAAATTGGAACCTTTTGTCATGAAAAATTTAAATGTGGATATGATTTAATGGCTTTGGGGAGAAAGTTTAGCATGAGAGATTGTAAGAAACAAGAAATCGATTACATGTAAGAAAGGACTTGAACCTCTAATCAAGTATTAAGGTATACAAAGAGATCTCTAGCTAGTTATAGCATAATTCAAAGGGATAATGGTTAGATTTTTTTTAATTTTCAAGTTTTATAAAAAATGACATTCCTATTTGCTCTTTATCTAGTTCTGAATTTTAATACATACTTAGTGATTTATAGAACCCATCACTATGTAAATACTGAACTATGCATATGCCATGTACATAGGTGCTATATTTTCTATGAAATATCGTGATCCCAAAACACTTTTCTATATTGTTAGACAAAATGTTATGTCTAGCTAAAAATTAACAGTAGGCAACTTGTGAATATAAACGGCTGTTTCTTAAAAACAAGAAAAATGTTATTCATTAATCCAACCTACGGTGTCTTCAAGTCAGTAGCATTTTTAATATTCTTTACTTTATAGGATTGAGTCCTCCATTAAAGCAATGTAACATTAACAACAACATCGACAAAGATTTGCTCAAAATCTGACAGAAGCAAAGCAGTTAACAGTATTTGTAGCCATGTTGGTCCCAAGTTAGTAGAGACAGAAAGGTGGGTGAGGTAATGTTATTGGACGAACTTCTATTGGTGAAAGAGATAAGCTTTTGAGTTTCTCAGACCTTGTCTCTTTCCCCAACAAAAATTGGTCCAGTAAAAGATACTATCTCTCGAAAAGGAAAACTGAGAAGTGTGCATGCTTAATTGCAACCATCTTCTTCACTCATGCTACTACTTTGATCATTCTTAGGGAAAACTGTGTATAACCTAGTCCTTGTATGGCTTCTAGGACTAGCCCTAAAGATGTTAGTGGTGGGGCCATGGAGTGATTTAGGGAATTAATAATTGAATCTTTAGCTGAATTGAGGCACTTTAAATTACTATTGGAGTTCACACGGCGCTCTCTGGGCAGCTCTAAGAGCTGCCTGGGTGGCCAAAATGCTGTATGATCTGGGTGGTCATGAGGACTGGTTGCCCCCAGCCCCACCACCTTGCCCAGGGGACCAGCAAGGTCGTCAGCTCCCCTGCTTTAAGACAACTGTTGGATTCTCTTTGGCTGTTGTCTGCAAACTGAAGATGTCCCCATACCAATCAAACTCTCAACTGCCTGTGTAAGAACTCCTGAAGATCTGGTCCCCCAGTGTTTCATCATCCTCCCCACTGTAAGCATGTACATAGCTGCAACATTTTAGCATTGAGAAAGGGACAGTTTAGGCAAAATGTCAGGAAAACTTCCTTTCAGTGTGTGATATGTATTAAGCTGCAAAATAACCTTCAAAGGGAAGTGGTGGAAGCCTCATTATATGGGACATTTCAGTCCAGGTTGAAGACAATACTTGAACGTGTGCCATAAGAACCAATTCCACCAAGTTTCCTGAGTGATCTAATTGGCCTGTTGATCTCTTACTCATAGGTTTCTGGGGGTACCACAATTGAGAAGCCCCTTGTTTTTCAGTCTTGTGGCTTGTTTGACTGCAAATGGCACAATCCAAATCTTATTTATGTATTTATCCACATTTATAAAAGACACCCCCTGCTCCACAAGCCTCTGAATGTAAAAAACATAAATTGCTATCAGTAGTGCATTGCAAACACCTGCGGTTGGCAGCAATCAGACAGTCCAAGTAAACACTATAAATCCTATCTCCAAACAATCTGAGGGCTTTTCCATCTTTTTAAACTGACTCACATAAGAGCCGTTGGGAGGGTGGAAACTCAAAACTTGAACTGTGAGGTCATTTTAGGGTTCAGGTGAGATACTGATATCTACTTAATGTAGAATCATTCTGGCAAGGAAGGGTAGACCTGATACAGGTTCTGGTGGAAATGAATGGAGAAATAGGGAACCTTTTGAAAAGCATGTAAGGAAAGTAGTAAAAAAGTAGCCAGTCTGGAATTCGGAAGGAAGAAAAGTATAGTCCCAGTTCCAAGGATTTCCTAAATTTTTTGATAAGTTGCATTGAGTCTCACTGAATTTCTGTAAAACAGGCATTCCCTTACAGTGAGACAGGCGGAATTATAAAGCTATTCGAGTTACTGTTTTAGGAAAAGTATTCAAAGCTTTGATTGCTTACTGAATAAAACTAGCAAATTATAGCCCTACCCGTCAAACAGCGCTGCACAAGGAGGTCATTGATTCTGCATGGATCCCCATTGATAAAAGCCCCACATGGATTCAGTGATCTGCCCACATGGATCAACTTGCAGGATAAAGGCCAATTTAAGGTTTTCCCCCTAAATATAGTTCTATCTATTACATTACTGATAAATTAGATCATGTGATATCATTCATGTCTGGCACCATGAACCATGTTAGTGGCTTTATAGTAACGTAATTGACATTAGTCCACGTGACTAGCTTTGCATCCTATGATTTGAGATAAATCTAAATTGAAATAAGTAACATTAGTTCTAGCTGGAGTTTTATGTATGTGTTTTATCATTTGAGGAAAAAAATGTGATTTACAATGCTATAAAAATAAGGTGAAAAACCTAGAATCATAGACTACAGTAATGTTCATGTTTTCATATAAATACTCTATTTATATGATTCCTATTCACACCTCTTCTGGTGCTTTTTTGCTGCAAGGGTACCCCTAAATGTTTAGGTAGAGCTCTGAACCTGGGATCCAAGATTTTTTTTAAAAAAGAAGACAATGACAGTACTGAGGAGTTACATGCAGAGGTGCCTACCACTGGCAGCGCTATGCAGTAAATACTGGGCCACCTCTGTTTGATTGTCATGGGACTGGGTTTATTGGTAGCTACAGGGGTGGTGACACGTCCAGCATTAGCCCTCTGGGAGAGATGTTGCTAAAAAGTATTCATTATGAAAGTACAGCATTTTAATACATTTTTTTTTCAATCCATGCTGGAATGGATTGCCTGACATTACAGTGCAGAATTTTTAAGTTCTACCTTCAGGCAAATCTCATACTTACTAGCAAAAATGAAAGTGTGAAATGCTTTTTAATGTATATTTAACAACAGATAGTCTAGTGATTACTGATGTGTATTCTCTCTGGACCTTTCCTTTGCTACGAGAAGGCGATGTAAAGAGACAACATTTTTATACATTTATGTTATCCACATCCATCAAATGTTTACTTTTTAAATATGTGTAACTGTCATTTATAACAAGACTGCAAAAAAGTTATATTTTAAGTGTAAATCAAACCCAGGTTAGAAGTTTGCAATCAATGCCAGTAACAGTTCAGTAACACTCAAGCAATGTTTCCTTTCCTTCTCTCCCCCCAGTTTCAGCCTTTTGATCTGCATAGGCAATAAGTGCAATTTTATGTATTGCTCTTCTGAAGAAAATGTAGTCTGTTAATATTTTTATGCTACTTGTTAATTTTCTCATTTCAAACTTTTTGACCTGCATTTTAGAAGATTGTTCCTAATTGAAATAAGTTTTATGTCTACTTACATTTAAGAGGTAAATTCTATCAAATGCATTTATTTAATTTTTTCCTGTAGAGTCACTTTTTAGTAAGGATTAAGGTACAGTTTTCTATAGTTACAGTGGGCTGCACAGCAAGATTTCACATCTTAAACTAACGTATGCTAAAGAGTTGCATAGTACATAGATCACTGTTGTTATAATAGCGGTATTGAAGGCATTTTAGATCACAGAGCCCCAGTAGTCTAAATTTTGTTTGTTTTGACATTATTAAACTCAATCTGTTGCTCTAACTGTGACTCTAATTACTGTATTTGCATGGCAGAAAAGTTTGCTTTGTGGATCGACTTCTATTAACATTGTTTGCATGTTGTTTTCTGAGTGTAGTGTTTCATGTACAGAGAGCAGAGCACCTTCTATCGAATTCAATAATTATGCAGAATCAATAAGTTTTTTTTCTTTGTGTTTGTCTTTGTTGTTTCTTTGATATGGCCTCTAGGATGCTGCAGGCAAAGTGCTGGACCGCTGGGCCATCATGTCCAGGGAAGAAGAGATTATTACCCTTCAGCAGTTTCTGAGATTTGGAGAAACCAAATCCATCGTGGAGCTGATGGCAATCCAAGAAAAGGAGGGGCAGGCTGTGGCTGTGCCATCTTCAAAGACAGATTCAGATATAAGGACTTTTATTGAAAGCAATAATCGCACTCGGAGCCCAAGTCTCCTAGCTCACCTGGAGAACAGCAACCCTTCCAGCATTCATCACTTTGAAAACATCCCTAACAGCCTTGCGTTTCTGCTTCCATTCCAGTACATAAATCCAGTCTCAGCTCCATTGCTGGGGCTGCCTCCGAATGGCCTCCTGCTGGAACAGCCAGCCCTGAGGCTGCGTGAGCCAAGCCTGTCTACCCAAAATGAATACAATGAAAGCAGTGAATCTGAAATTTCCCCCACTCCTTTCAAGAATGAACAGACATCGTAGAACCCAAAACTGAGCCAACCTGTGTGTCTCCAGTTCAAACATCTACCCCCATCAATGATTTATCCAAAAGCGAGCACACAAAAAGCTCATTCAGGATTCACCGAATGAGAAGAATGGGATCGGCATCAAGAAAAGGGAGAGTGTTCTGCAATGCATGTGGTAAAACTTTCTATGACAAAGGTACGCTCAAAATTCACTACAATGCAGTTCATCTTAAAATCAAACACCGGTGCACGATTGAAGGCTGCAACATGGTCTTCAGCTCTCTTAGAAGTCGCAATCGTCACAGTGCTAACCCTAACCCCCGCCTTCACATGCCTATGCTAAGGAACAACCGAGACAAAGATCTAATCCGGGCTACATCTGGAGCTGCCACCCCTGTCATAGCAAGTACAAAATCCAGTCTTACCTTAACAAGCCCTGGTCGGCCTCCAGTGGGTTTTACTACTCCCCCGTTAGACCCTGTACTACAGAACCCTCTCTCTAGCCAGCTGGTGTTTCCAGCTTTAAAGACTGTCCAACCTGTTCCTCCTTTTTACAGAAGTTTACTTACTCCTGGAGAGATGGTGAGTCCTCCAACCTCGTTACCTACCAGTCCCATCATACCAACAGGTGGTGCAGTGGAGCAGCAGCCTCCTCTTCCTTCAGAGTCATCGGTACCTGCAATGATGATGCCTATCCACGAGCCTAATGCTGACCTAGCCCCTAAGAAAAAACCAAGGAAGTCAAGCATGCCAGTTAAAATAGAAAAGGAAGTGATTGATACTGCGGATGAGTTTGACGATGAAGATGAAGATGCTCATGACAACAGCATAATGGCTAATGATATTGCTCATGACAATCACTGCCATTCGCAGGAGGAAATGAGCCCAGGATTGTCTGTGAAAGATTTTTCTAAAAATGGGAGAAACAGATGCATTTCTCGAACAGAGATACGAAGGGCAGACAGCATGACCTCAGAAGACCAAGAGCACGAGAGAGACTATGAAAATGAGTCAGAATCCTCAGAGCCAAAATTGTGCGAGGAATCCATGGAAGGTGATGAACATATCCATGAATCTAATGAAAAATCTATGATGAACAGTGAGATGCAGGATGAAAATCACAATGAATCATCTCACCAGGATGTAATTAAGGTGAAGGAAGAGTTTACAGACCCTACGTATGATATGTTTTACATGAGCCAATATGGACTGTATAATGGGGGCAGCGCCAGCATGGCTGCCCTTCATGAAAGTTTCACTTCAACATTTAACTACAACAGTCCTCAGAAGTTCTCCCCAGAAGGTGACCTGTGTTCCAGCCCAGATCCCAAGATCTGCTATGTGTGCAAGAAGAGTTTCAAAAGTTCCTATAGTGTGAAGCTTCACTACAGGAATGTTCATTTAAAAGAAATGCATGTCTGCACAGTGGCTGGCTGTAATGCTGCCTTCCCATCACGGAGAAGCAGAGACAGGTCAGTAAATATTAATTGATTTTCTACATTATTAAGTGTGTTGAATTGCATATGAAAATCCAGTATTAGATAGATGAAGAAATAGAGAAAGAGACACAGTAATGAGAAGCGACAGTCGTGCCCTCTTGGCATTGAAGGGGTTTTTCACTTTAGGTTTTCATTATTTGACATTCAGAATAGTATATACTATGTCATTGTCTTATGTGACTGGCTTGATGATGTCATTATTCTTTTTGTGCATGTGTGTATGTATTGTATATACACTTTTTTATGTATGCTGCTGCTTTTATATATTCAGCTTTTTTTCCCTGCAGCTTTCGAATCAAGGAAAGCTTTTATTAAATATATAATGATTATAAACAACAGAAATATCTTCATACATACTCTTGGAAATAGAAACAGGAATAGATGGAGGGGGAGAACAATAGGACTAGGATACATGAACAGTCCCCATCTCTGCAGGCTTAAGTACAAATGAGTAGGAATCATTAATGGAGATTAATTCTCCTTATAAACAATAAGAAACAAAATGAAACGTAAATGTTGGGGAAATGCTTCTCTTTTTCCATGGGAGAACATGTACCTTTCCCTTCCCCCCTCTTCCCCCCGCCCCAATATAACCATTCAGTCCAGCTTTTTTTCTCTAAATGTAACTTCCAGTCACTCTGATGGAGTTATATACATGCAAAAAGGGGAGACTGTATCTTTTTAAGATCAGTAAGGGTATGTTCTTCAGGCCTTCAAATGACATCACACTATAGTTATGCTGCATCAGTGCTTAAACAGAAGCAATTGGTCCTAAACCGTTTTGGCCTTTTTTGAGGGGTTTTTTTTTTTTTTTAGTTCCTAAAGTAAATGGAATTTGTCAAGGTGGCCTGTGGTAGAATTGCATAGTTATTCCATATTGTGAAAACAAGTTCTCAGGTATGATGATGAACGTAGTGGTGCACAATGGAGTATCCATTAAAGGTTCACAGCATTGGGTTTGTGTTGTGATGGTGAAAGTGATTCATCACACTTGAATTTGTTTTAATATTTTTCATTATGGAATAACAATTCAGAAGAGAGAGAGAGGAAGGAACTTGAATTTAGCTAAGCATTTTGCACACATTTCCTGTATCTTATGCCATGGAAATTACTTAAATTTTCAACTGGATTCAGGGTTTAATATAAAATAAAAGTAATTTAGTGTGAAGGAGGAAACCAAATTTCACTGTTTCTGGAGTCTTTAAATGGAAAATGTGAACATAAAAGAAAACTGTACATAGAGTAGAATAAACTCGAATGCTTGTTTTACCAGTAAGATGAGATCAATTAAAATCAAACACCTAAAACCAAATTAATGCCTCTGTCCTACTGGTGGATCCACCCTGGTTGAGGCCTGCTAACCTCAATAGAACTCTGGCTAGACATAATAGACATAAAGGCCTATCCTTTGCTGGATCAGGGCCTCAGTAAGTCAAAACCTATGTTTAGTTATTCCACATATTGTGTCCTTAATGTTGATGGGCTTGCAGAGCATTTGTTAGTGCAGAATTTGGCTCAGCATATGTGTTTTCTCAAGTGAGTTATAAAATGTCAGTCATGTACTAAGTAAACCCATTTTGTATTCAGTGTGCAAAAGAGAAGTGGCTAGTTTAGCCTTTGGAATGTTATTTGGAATGTTAAATTTCATCAGGAAACAGTTAACTTGATAGATTATGCTAATAATAAAGAAGTTAGTTCAGTGGACATATATTAGGAGAAAAGGACCATCATGATGACATGTGTAAAGTATTTATGAGTACTGAACATTTAAAGACAGGGCACAGTTTGAAAGTATTTTATGAACTATATATGATACTTTGATTTAGCTTATTGAAAGCAAGCCATAAAAGTGAAATATATGATTCATAAACTTAAAATGCAGACTACTTTCTTAAAAATAAAATTATTATTTACATATGAGTTTTGGTTGTAATAGGCATAGGAACATCTTTCCAGTCTCACCTCACAAAAAATATTCAGAATATGTTTCACTTATGCCAGCGTCTTAATGATAACGTGGAACAACAGAAATCCACAAGTTCTGAGAGTTTAAGGTGGTGATAGAGTACTTAAACAGGCTTAGAGACGAGATACAATGTGGATGCGCCTTCAATACTGATGCTTTCTGAGACTCACCAAAACTTTCAGGTATGCAGAATTTGTCTGGAAGAATATATAAAAACCAGGAACGCTCTTACATTTTTTTATAATTCTTGTAGACATTTAGTCAGGAAGTATCATAAAAAACAATCTTTATTGTTCACTGAATTTCAACAAAAGGAGCAGTGTGAGAATGAATCAAACATTCTTTTATTTAATCCTCAAAATTTTGTTTTGTTCAGGTTTGGGTTGAAGGGAGAGTCTTATTTTATCTAAGCCATATAGCCTACCCAATGGAGGGTTTGTGGCTGGTTTTTAAAGTTTACAGATGAAAAAACCTAGGTCGTTTCAGACAGATCCTCAAAGAGGTAAACTAATCTATGGTATCTTATTGGCTTTTGCTGCCAAATAACTAAAGTAATAATATTAAGAAGTGAGAACTTCTGTTACCTTGCTGGACTGTTAATTTAAAACTTAATTATGACTATTTCACTTTTAATTGTTGCACCAGAAATTAGAAATATCCAGCTAATGTGTATAGCAAGTGAGTATGGACATATATTCTGGTATTTATTTAAACAGGTATGTGTTTAAATTTGAATTTTGATGGTGTAGGTAGTCACGTATTCTACTGAGTATTCTTTTAACTAGCCAGATAAATCCCAAAGTTCTTTGCTGTCCTTAAAAATTAAAATTTAAAAGGTATTTCTAATGCCATTTTCATAAAAACTGTGAGAACCTTCCCGTGATGTGGCTTTTAGAACTTAGTGAGGTTTCCTTATTTAAAATTTTTCTGTAACATTATTAAAATAAAACAAGTAGTGACAATGGTTGAGCTTAATAAAGTGAGAAATAGTTCAGTGACATCGGGTACAATGTATAAGGTTGTTCAACCCAACTCTGGTTAACTTAAATTGATTATGTTCCCCAGGCTTAGAGGGTGACATTTTGGTGAACTAGAATCAGTAAAACTGACTGTCAAAAGACAGAGGCCTTAGTTATCGTAGACAGCTGGTCAGCTCTCTCTACCATCCAAATACTCTTTTATTTGAACATTTTGGACATCTCCCAAGATGTATTTATATACTGGGATGTCCTGTATTAAGCTTAGTTGGTCTGCTACAGTATGGTGGGTCTTACTTTCTTAAGTGGAATGCAGGCAAACAGAAAACTGAGGAGAGACTTACAGAGGTTCCCCTATTTTGGATACTTTTCCCCACTCACGCATCTCCAAATTTTTGACATATTTCAGACAGAAGAAGGGACAGAAAACCCTACAGTTATTGTCAGAAGACCCCTCCCCTCCCCGCCCCCAGAGTTCTGTTATCCCTTCTGAAATTGATAAGAAGTTGCTTTCATGATTTATAACACAGTGTCTGAATTCTTTTTTAAACTAATTTTCTATTTGTCATATTTCCCACCCATTAATAGAAGTGTGAATGAAATCTATAGGCTTACCTGTCTATATCTTTCTTTTTTATATCTTTCCTAAAGAGAACAGTGCTTTCATTCCTCCTTTTGTTCTTTATTTTCAGTCCCATTGTTCTTAGAATCATTTACTGTTCAGCTTTCACCTTCCCTTTCTCTTGCATCAACTCAGGTATTTTTTACTCTTCAGTTCTGCCACTAATGTTGTCTTTGTAGGATGTGCCTTGTCACAGGTAAGTGCCAAAGAGTGAAAGATAAAATAAATCATGCCAAAAGTGGTGGTGTCAGGCAGAGCAAGAGTAGGGATAGGAAAACATCCTTAGGATGTTTCCTTGGGATAGGAAAACATCTCTTTAAAAGACAGTGGTCAAGGAGATGGAGAAAAGGGACGAAGATATATGCTGGACAGCTGCCTGATATGTAGGCTTGAATGTGGATCCAGATACAGTTTGTGTTTCTGGGTGGGAGAAAAGTTGTACAGGGAAACTTTCTGGAGTGAATAGCCAATGGGAAAGGAGGAAGGTTGGTCTGTGACTAAGGAAGGTTTTGTGATGGGAAGTCTTCACAGAGTACATCCCTCCTGGTCCTTTTCTATTCCAGCATCCCTCTCCATCTTGCTTAAACAGGTAAAAAGTACACTGGAATGGGAGGGCTACTTCTCAGAGCCAGTTCTCAGAGGCCATCAACTCAAGAAGCTCAGTGGAGCATAGGGAAGTTCTAGTTTCTTAGATTTGACAGAAGGGGTCTTTCTTTAATAATGAACAAGAGAGGAAATGACATAGTGGGAAAATGTGTTGGGAGAGAGTGAAGAGAAAAAAAATAGTGCAGTTGAGTTTTATTCAGCTTACCTCCCTTGCCTAGGGTCGTAGAGCTAAAGAAAGTTGAAGTTCAGATTCAGGAGCTGTGAATTTCTGACCAGTTCAAGTTGGTCTGTATTTCAGTAAAAAAAACTGGGCCTACTCCTTGCCAGCCCTATTTCATTTTAATAAGTCAAAATCCATTTTATATTTGTACCATCAGTTTAAAAATCTCCATTATTAACAACTAGGTTGGAATGCTGAATTAATACAAACATATTATCCCTTTTTCCATGTTCTAAATATGTATAAAATAAATATATTTCCTGGCTCCCTGCTTAG